GAATTTAATATTAAATAGGAAATATTAAATGAATATTAAATTTAAATAATGACGTCTTACATATTAACCTGAAGTGTCAAAAGTTTTAGTTTCCTGGTTCGGCAATAAAAAATTATTTACGAATTGGTTTTTGCTGGGAAAGAATGAAATAATTTCTTTCATATTGCTATGTTTTCATGCATTTGCTTTACAGGAGTACATAGAACTTATAAATTTTGCTTTAACTGCAACTCCCTCATCTGGTGGGTATAAATTATGAGGGTACACTTTTAGCTTTTAAAAACTATTTATTTACAATCTTAAAATGTATAATCACAGAGAGCTGCAATACCAGCATAGTTCTATTTTCAAATCTGTATCCAAAGTGTTGCCAATTATAAATTACTAAATATTAAATGTTACTATTTACAAATTATTAAATATTACATCTTCCGTTTTTTTAAAGAGTTCAAAAGTTTTAACAGCCTAAAATCAGTCCAAATATCTGGCCGGCTTTCTAATCACTCGCCCACTTCTAGTTCTTAGCTCACCGTACCTTGTTTTTGAGTTAGCAGAGTTTGGTAATTGATCTTCTAAACTTTGCCCTTGAGAATATCTGGAATCATATCCTTTTACATCTGTTTTCTGTGTATTAACTCCTTGTTCTGTTCCTCTGATATTCTCATCCACAGCTGAACTGTTTTCTCTAATATCTTTTCTATTTCTTCTCAATACTGATCCACCTGATCTAAGTATATATGATCTAGGCGTCTTATGCACTTCTACAACTGCTGGTTTCCAGCGATTATCTTGATATACCCGAACACAACCTCCTTTATTTAGCGATGGTAATGTTTTTGTATGACGATCATAATATGACTTCTGTTTAGTTCTTTCTTGGTTGATATTTTTTCTTTTACATTTTTCACAACTTGAGGTTTTAAGTAATTCTTCAGATGTGTAGGAAGAATTGTTCTTGTTCTTCTACTCATAAGTCGTTGAGCTGGTGATCCTAGCATCTCATTAGTTGGAGTGATAAGGATCAGCATGATCTGCTTGAGCTTTCTTTAACAATTTCTTCGCCGTTTGTACTGAACGCTCTGCTAATCCGTTCGACTGTGGATGGTATGGACTGCTTGTTGTATGTTTAAATTGGTATTTCTTTGCAAATTTTGCAAATTCCTTACTTGCAAACTGAGGTCCATTATCAGATATCACTATCAATGGTATACCGTATCTTGCAAAATGAGATTTCGTGTAACTGATCACTGTCTGACTTCGAGTATCCGGTAGTTTGAAGATTTCAAAAAAGTTGGAATAGTAATCTACAATTAATAAATATACATCTTTGTTAATCTCAAATACAGAGGTTGGACAAAAATATGGAAACACCTTTCAAAAAACATGTTTCTTTGCTGCTTAATATGGTGTAGGAAAACCGCTGGCATCCAAAACAGCTTGCAGTCTTCTCGGAATGAATAAATACAGTTCCTGTATGTTTGCCAAGGGAATATTATACCATTCTTCCTGCAAAACGGTGGCAAGTTCAGATAACGATGTTGGCGGTGGATAACGAGAACGCACTTTCCGTTCCAATGTAGACCACAAAGGTTCGATAATATTCAGGTCTGGTGACTGTGGTGGCCAGGGGAGATGGGACAACTCATCCTCGTGCTCAGAAAACCAGTCCTGGACAATGTGAGCTGTGTGAACAGGGGCTTTGTCGTCTTGGAAGACACCATCACCATCGGGGAACAAAGTTTGTATCATGGGATGAACTCGATCGGCCAAAATGTTCACATAAGTCTTGGCAGTCATGTGCCCTGACACAGTTATCATGGGGCTGGCAGAGAACCACGATACGGCTGCCCAAACCATAACAGAACCCCCGCCATGTTTCACTTTTGGCAACAAGCAGTCTGTATTACAGGCTTGAGATGGCGTTCTCCAGACGTAAACTCGGCCAGAGTGGGGAAACAATGTGAAAGAAGACTCGTCAGACCATATTACTCGCTTCCACTGCTCTATAGTCCAGGCTTTATGACTTAAACACCACCTTTTTCTGTTACGGGCATTAGCATCACTGATGAGTGGCTTCTCAATTGCAGCACGGCCAGCAATTCCCTGTTTATGAAGCTCCCTTCTAATTGTTTTGGTACTCACAGGGTTCGGTAACACAACATTCATTTCGGCAGTAACTTTTACAGCTGTGGTCTTCTTATTTTTCGTCACAATTGATCTTAATGATCGTCTGTCACGATCACTCAGGACACACTTTCGTCCGCGCTGTGATTTAGCAGATGATGTTTTTCCGCTTTTCAAATATGCGGAATAAATCTTCGATACAGTACCTCTTGAAACACTAAACACCTCGGCTACCTTGCTTACGGAAGCACCTACCATACGTGCTCCAACAATTTGCCTACGTTCGAAGTCTGTTAACTCTGACATAATGCAATGACAACCTCACATAACAGTACTCCGACAACAACTGAACTGTTTAGCACATTTACGAAGTTGTATAGGTGGCGTCAGTAGTCAAAAACGCCAGCGCCACCTACATATTTTCATTAAAATCAATCTTTCTTTTCAAACATGCATTTCACAAGGTGTTTCCATATTTTTGTCCATCCACTGTAAATCTGTCGCAACTTTATACGAAGGTAAATTGGGAATTTCATGTGGTATCATAGGCTCTCTTACGTTTTGGTTCTGGTATTCATTACATATAGAACATTTTGAAATTTTATCTTCTATCTACCAGGATCAAAAATGAAATCTATTGATTGATAGGAAATTGTGTTAAAAGTTTCATTAAGAATCGTATTTATTTCTTTTTGACGTTAAAAAATGCATAGCTTAGTCTTTCCATTGTAACGTTGTATACGTCTTTAAGTGTATTCTTTTCAAAATTTTTAAACCTTTGTGTTATGCTGTATGCATTTATTTGCCACGTGGTCTAGCAAACAGCCAATTTCCCGAAGTACCGCCGTTCAACATTTTTAAGTGTCCTCTGTCTTCGGAAATAGGTATTACAAGAAAGATATCTCTGACGAAATGGTTTTGGCAAGAGAACTCCATATTCCTTTGTGTTAATCTGAATGCTCTGTTCCGTTTTGAAGGTAATGAAAGTATCACAAAGAAACGGTCTTCAGGACTTGTTAAAAATATTCCATTTATTGTTCCAAATATTCCAACGGTACCATATAGTGTTTTTTTTTTTTTTTTGGAGCATCTATATCTCCTTCGTCTAATTTGCTTGATGAGCCAAATTTTGAAAGTTGTAACGTTATTATTTAAACTAATCAGTTATCTATAATTTCAGCCTTTACTATAACTTCTTCACGTTTTCTCACCAGAATGATTTAGCTATTATTTGAAATGACGTTTTTGGATTGTAACAGAGAATGTGTTTCTGGCCTACTTTGCCGCGTTTCCACCTGAAGCAAATTTCGTCCTGGTTGATAACACCTGTCCTAAAGTCTGTTTAAATAAAAAGGTTGTTTAAACTTTCCCAAGACTTTAGTTACTTTCAGATACAGCCATAATTCGCTTCACGTTTGTTAGGTCTTATCACACATTCAAAACATTTCAAAAGAACAACTTTTCTGCTTTGTGTCATGACATAAAACAGACAATCACCAGGAATTACTTCAGGTGGGTGCCATATGAATGAGAAATTTGTTCACCATTGCAAATGATGGTTGATGATGGGGGGACTCGATTCTGAAAGCTGATTGGTTGCTGAAAACGAACTTACAATTATATTTATTTATTTATTTATTTTTATTTATTTATTGAAAGGAAAGAATAATTCTTGCGTCTTTCTTTTAGTGGTAAAGCAAGTAGAAAAATTGTTTGAAACAGTTCTTGGTCCTAAACGAATGGATGTGTGATGGCAGCCTTAGAGGTTTTGGACTCATCATTAGTTTCAGATCAAGTAAAACCTCATAAAGTTTCTATGAGTGTTTGTCTACAGCCTTTTTTCCTGTCGCTGACTTTCTCTGCCTTGCAGCTGTATATCTTTATCATCATCTCTCGCATATTCCCCTTACTTGCCCCCATTCGGCGAGCGATAATGTGACGAAAAACATTCTCGTCGCTTAGTGTATCCGGTTCCATTTACATATAGGTAAATAACATGTAGAACATAGAATCTAAGCTGTCAACTGCTATAGACCAGCGTAAATTCTTTTTCAAATTTCATAACACCACTTCTTATCTTATTTACGCCACTTGAGGATCGCGAGATCGTATTTATCCCTTTTCCTCCCCACCTGAATCATGAGTTAAAAGGCTCTGCTTTCTTATCCCCCCCCTTTAAACTACGTCAGCTGATTGCGATATGATTATACAGCACCAACATTCTCTTTTTCTATTGGATAAATATGAAAATATTTGGGGGCTCGTTTCACTATCTGATGTCGCAGAGAAAGATTTCTGGAACCTTATCGAAAGTTGTTTTGTTCTAAGCAATGTTTTCCGAGATGGCATGAGCTTTCGCATCGCGCGTTTCGCGTGACCTCTTATTGACGGCTTTGACCTTCTTTTTTTCTTAATATATATTCGCCATCAGTTTGATGGCCAACACACTGCGCGATTAAATAGTTCGTGATAGCATTTATCAAAAAGTTTCATCAGAAAACCCATGATTTGAATATGAACTTAGATTTGAATTTATTTGCTTGTTAGTATTCTGCACTATTTACAAGCATAAGTAATTACTGACCTGCTTGCTCATTTTTGTTATTTTCTACGGCACAGCTTCAGTATAGCCCACCCAGAATTTTAACCAAAAATATCGCCAAGAGCGGCGATAAATGATATGATGTAGTAACCCATACTATTCGTCAAACGCAATGTAAACAAGAGGATGGAATTACGGTTAGAGCTAATACAGTAGTCAGTTACATTTATTCAATTTCAATACAAATTACCGAGATATCCATAGTTAAATGCACGTGCCCCTGTATTCTTACGTTTACGGCATACCTTCTCTTAAAATTTATCTCGCGCCGCATTGCACGCGGAAATACAACATTTTTTAATTAGAATTGTACTAAAATTAACTATCTAAACACAAAATTCGTAACACTATTTTCGGCGAGTGTTTAACACTCAGATATTGTGGAGAATACTGTTTTGGAGATCAGATTTTTGTATTTAGTTATGGATTGCTCTAAACCTGCTGCTGTTAGTGATGTTGTAAATAAGTATCAAGAGATTTTAAAGGAAAATTTAAAATGGGAATTTTCAAACAAGCGTAAAAGTTTGGGAAAGCCAGGCATACCAAACAGATATTTTATGAATGAATTAACAAGAGAGTATGAACTTTTTAGAGGATTTTTGATGGATTATGGATTACTGAAGGATTACATTTGGGAAAGCCAAGCAAAGGTGAGATTTTTCGGCACTGTTTTTAAAATTACATCCTTTTAACCTTAATCATTTTTATTAATCATTCTTTAATACTTCTTTCTTTTAAAATCGTCTATAATAGTCGTAAATTTATTTCTATTATCCACGATTTCTGGTGAAATCAATATGGCCGCCATTTTTGAAACACAGAGTTTCGTCGAAAATCTGGATGGCAGCGCTCCTATTATTTTTTTGCCTTATGTTTCTCTCTTCGGAGCCTTTCCCTTGCCTTGAATGGTATTCTAAAAGTCCTACCACTCTCTCGTTCCGATTCTTTTTCTTTGGATATCTCCGCGTTCTCTATCACTTGCTCACTTGTACTCAAATATTTCTTTTTTCTTGCTGGCTGAGGCATACGTTCAAGAATCTTCTAGAAAAAGAATTCTTTCAAGAAACTTATAGAAAAAAATTCTGAAAACGCAAATATAAATTGATGCAATTTTGTCATTTTTCTCACGACAGACGTCCAGTATCCAAGAGAAACATTAAATTTAAAAACTGCACAGAATTATCGTCCTCATTTTTTCGAGTGGCAACAGTGCTGATAACAGTAACAATGGCAACAGTGATATATCAGCAACAATGGCTGCGTGCCATTGTTCCTTTAGCCCATTATGTCTCAAAATGATGCGATTTCATCAAAAAACCTAAAATTAAAAAAAAAAAAAAAAAAATCTCATTCGAATTTTGAAAAAATCGTTTCGAGGTGCACTGGTTCTTGTCTAGACGCATCCTTTATGTACCAAATATCGAACCCTAAGTCTCGTAACTTACGCGCAGCACTAACGAAACTCACACACACAGACAGAGAGACTCTTCCTTTTATTAAATGTAGAGATTTTAACAATCCGTTATTGTACCAGTTTGGAATAGTACGCTAGTTTGAATAATAATACTTAGTTTTTATTTGCCAAAACTAATTATTGTATGCATTACTACCTGCTTCTGTTTGAAAAAAAGACAAGATTTGGAACTTTATAAGTTTATAACTTTGAAACTTTTTTTAATTTTTTTCTCTCTTCTTTCCACATGCCTTCTGAGTGTAACTGGAAGCACACTCGACGCGTATTCGAGAGGTCCAGGGTTCGAGTCCTGACGAGGGTACTACACGTTTATCACATCTCCTGCTTCAAAAAACGTAGTCACTCTACTTCAAAAAAACCTAATAACAAGTTGCTCCAGAACTAAAAGGTGGTGGACGATAATTCTTCACTACCAGAATTTGGCGACTGGGTTCTCTAATCGTCAGACGCCCTTGAAAAGAAGGAGTATATAAGGTATTTTCTCGGTCCTTTCCGCAAGTATTCGTTGTGTAACTACAAGCACTCTCGAGGCGTACTCGGGAGGTCCAAAGTTCGAGTCCTGGCGGGGGCACTTCTCACATTCTAGGATCAATAAAACCTAAAGACTCTACAACCTATCATCAAAAGAACTTTCTAATCTAACGAACCTGAAAATGAAATGGATATATTAGTGTACACATTTTTTCTGTGTTCATCAAAGGTTCTTTAGTTATCTAAAGAACAATGATCAGTCAATAATATATTGCCCACTTTGTTTGATATTTTTTTTTCTTTCTTTTAATGAGCTACGTTAATTCTTCATTCACAAAACAGCTTGGCTTTGTCGGCGAAAAGCTGAACAAGGTGCTGATTTACGGCCTCGTTTGAATTGAATGTTATACGACGAAAGAAATTTTGAAGAGAGCGAAACAATGTGAAGATCTGAGGGCTCAAGATCAGGCGAGTATGATACGCGTGGCAACACTTTTGGTACTTTTCCGTTTTGCCGGCGCAGACGATAAAGTCGCCAGTTGATGCCAAACAGAATATCCTCGCTGGTAACCTTTGACGCCTCACTTTCAAAACAAGTCGCAGCCATTTCTTGTTAGATTGATTGTTTCTTTCAATACTGGCATACAATTACATAGAATGTTTACCTAGATAGTTCAATTTTATGCCTTAAGGCCATTCGCGGTAATTAAGTCAATTAGGAAGCAATCACACCGCTCACCCGAAGGCGAAAATATAGAAAAGGCAAAGTCGAGGGCTAAATTCAACAATTCTAACGAGAATGCACTAGCGAAGTAAAGCACTGCGGTTTTACATAATTTCTGAGTAAGCTATTCGTACGAATTAAAATAATTCTTGCATTTAAACTTATATTCCAAATTAAGATTTAACGTGAAATTAAAGTAGATAATTACTGAGAAAATTAGATTTTTGTGACGTAGTTTACGTGAGATGAGATCACTTGGGGTGAAGTGATATGAACCGGCGAATCAGGATATGTTGAACCATGAAAGCATAGTAAATTCTTAAATTAACGTCTTTTTATAAATTTATTCTTTTTACTTATTGGCTTTTGTATGTTGTCGCCAATAAAGTCTGCTTGGCGAGATTTGCGCCGACGAAATGGAAAAGTACCACGCTTTTCATCCAAACCTCAATAATTTTTGTAAGGTGATCAAACTTGTGTACGGTCTTGTTCCAAGCTCCTACCAACGAGCCAACAAATCGAATGCGTGTTGTCGCCAAATGGACAATTTGAACGAACCCACCTTCCAGAAACTTCTAGAACTCATTAATCGTGGAGGAACTGCATTTCATCCCGATAATACGAGATAACACGCAAATTTCATCTCCTGCCAAAAGTTAATCGAGTTTGGATGAAAAGCATTGCCACGCATATCATAACCTCCTGATCGTGTGCCCTGAGGTTTTCACTTGTTTCGCTCTCTTTAAAATTTCTTTCGTGGTATATAAAGAACCTTTGAAGAACAACGAAAAATGCGTCATAAATTTTCAGACAACCAGATATTTTGGCGTACACTGTAATATGTTATCATTAAACTCTTCCATTGTATTTTTCTTCGTTGCAATACAACGAAGGAGAGCTGAAATGAATTTTGATTAATAGAACGAATCAATAATAAATTTCAAAAACTGAAATAATTAATTTTTAAATAAAAGATATAACCATTTCTAAGTAAAAAAGAATTAATTCAGATAATTCCTAATAGTGAATTATGTAATTATTCGGGCTTACTAAAAAAATTAATTCCTTTTTTTTTTTTTTTGGTTGCTTTAATTTAGATGACAGTTTCACTTTTGCATGTCTTTAATAAAAGCCTCATCATGAAAAATAGGCGACTTGTTTATGATTCCTCAACGTTTTCTCTAGAACGGAGGTGAATCTTAATCTTGTTTATCAGCTTTTGTGTTTCAGCAGTGTAATACTTCAGTTATGAAGTACGAAAGAAAAGAAGACGTTGGCTTTCTGTCAAGTACTCCTTTATTTACTTTTTTCAGAATGGCAACCTGAAGCAGCGTTATCAAGAAAGAAGAATGGACTCTTGAAAGTCAGACTCCTTTAGGAGCAGATCTATTTATCTGCCAATCAAAATAACACCAGAAACAACATTTTAAGTGTGTGGGTTAAACACTTATGAAAAAAAAGTTTTTAATTTAAAAATAATTTCCACAACTTGATGAGAAATTATAATTCGGCATGATTCATTTTGGTATAACTTTTATCATACAGTTATGGGATGCTGACTTATCATTTAACGCAAATTAGTTAAAGCACCTTGCACTTGTTTACAAAATGTTTGTTGTTTTTGTCCTTGAACTCTGGGGCTATCATAAGCTATCTTCTTCTTTGCTAAGAGAAGTTTTTTAAATGCTACTAATACTGTACCTTCCGTTTAGCGCTTGTAATATTTAAAAAAAGCTCAGTATTTTTTCGAAAGACAAAGCAGCTGTCTTCCTTCTTCAGAATCAAATTATTACGCGCAGACGCACTGGTTACTTCGTAAAAAACAACTGGGCACGTAGCGCCATCTGTTAAGAAAAAAGAAAGCACAAAATCAGATTTTTAAAATGACATGAATAAAAACTTTTAGATAATCAAGAATAAAATTAATACGATGAATTAAAAAAATAATGGATTTTCGTGACATAGAAAACTCTAATCGAAATTAATTCATCAACTGAAAAACAGTTTTGAGTCAGTTTAAGTAGAATTAATTAATGTGATTAGATATATCTCAGAATTTCCTTTATTTTGATTTCTTCTATTTCTCTTTATATAAGGCATCAGATCTTCTGTATGTTTAGAACAAGGGGGAAAATTTGTCTGGTTGCCAACCCATCCATAAATGTTTCAACTGTATGTTGTTTATCTATAGTTTTAATTTCATTTATTCCATTCATGAAATCATCTAAAAAATGTTTTTCCACTGCTTATTTAAAATATTAACTATAGATAACTATAGATAAACTATAGTTATAACTATAGATAAACAACATACAGTTGAAACATTTATGGATGGGTTGCCAACCCATTCATAAATGTTTCAACTGTATGTTGTTTATCTATAGTTTTAATTTCATTTATTCCATTCATGAAATCATCTAAAAATGTTTTTCCACTGCTTATTTAAAATATTACATAATTTATCAGCATAAGAAATATATGTATGTGCATAATATTTTTTTGTATTCTAAAGTTTTATAGGTGATTTAGTTTTTCATCAACATATAAATTACAAACATATTGAAAAACTGATTTTGAAGCATTATTTAAGGTGCATAAGAATTTCAATGAAACAAATCTAAAATTCTAAGCTTATTTTCACTTAATTCCCAATTACAACATACTTATTTCAGCATGTAGGATTATAAAATACGGCGGAAAGAGCTAACACAAACACAATTTTAATCTACATTTTCTTGATTCTAGAAGATTATTAGCCCAAAGAGGCGATAGCCCAGAAGGGCTATTAGTCTCAAACCGGCATTTTGTGGCGTTTCTTTATAAACGGCGAAACACTTTTTAAATTATTGCCACCAAATATTATCGCTCTGTATTGCAGTTAAAGAAATTAAAAAATGAATGTATGTATGTTTCTCACATTGTGAGAAAAACGATAATACGTGCAGTCATCAAATTCTGAATAACGTAATCCTCCACCCAAA